TGAACAGAGAAAACAAGGGATAGAAATGTCAAGTGATGAAATAAACTTGACTTTACACAACTCTATAAAACAGTGAGGAAAACACTGGGGGAAATAAAGAGGCAGACAAAATGTGACATAAGGTCAGTGGTGGAGGGTGTTAGGCACTTGGGTGTTGGTTAACGTGTAATAACTGTGCAACAAAATAAGCATTAACAGGGACTGGAGAAATAGTATAGTGGGTAGGACATTTGCCATACACACAGTCAACATGTGGGCTTGATCCCCCTCATCTCATATGGTCCCCTGGTCACTACTAGGAGTAACTCCTGAGTGCAGAGCCAGTCATCACCCCTGGGCATCCTTAGGTGTGGCCCCCAAACAAAACAAAGCATAAAACTTTAAAACAGAACAAGCATTAACAGTAATTTTGGCATGTCATTTGACCTGAATTTTCTTTTTTTTGCCTTTTGGGTCACACCCAGGGATGCTCAGGGGTTACTCCTGTCTCTGCACTCAGGAGTTACTCCTGGCGGTGCTTGGGAGACCATATGGGATGCTAGGGATTGAACCCAGGTCGGCCGCGTGCAAGTCAAATGTCCTACCTGTTGTATTATTGCTCCGGCCCCAAGTTTCTTTACAAAGTTTGTTATAGCTACTAAGCACAAATTTGTTATAGAACTTAGTCCTAGTTTTGTGGTTAGGGATCACTCCTGATATGCTTGGAGAGCCATACGTGGTGCTAAGGGGACCAAACCCAGGTACGGGTAAGCAAGTAAAACGCCTGACCCGCTGTATTATTTCTCCAGCTCAAGAAAGAGACATTTATAAGAAGTAGGAACTCTTTTTCCACGGCCATTTACTGAGGAAGTGGCTTGTTGAAATGGGGTGTGAGTGGAGGTGGGCGGAATCTGTGGGAGAGAGGGGTTGGAGGAGCTTGAGCCTGAGCTCAAGGGAGGCATACAACATTGTCTCATGGTGAATCCCCAAAGTGAGCCTAGTCAAAGGTTTTCAACACCTGTGCATAGTTTGTGAAAAGCATTCATCAAATCTTAATTCAGCAGCATCCTTTCTTATTGCCAGGAAATCTTGCACTTGACTTCAGGAACTGCTCCTGGCTGGCTAGTCTGTACAAGCTTAATTGCCCCAGTTTGGCATAAAGAACTACAGGCAGCACATGTCTAGTGAAGATCAATAGCATAAGAACTAAAATGCTCTTTAATGACACCTCTGGAAGGTCATACAGCTGACAACACAAGTCTTACGCACAGAATTCTCCCCTGCTTCACTAGTGGGGTGGGAAATTTGTAACCAAAAACCTAGTGGGGGAGGAGAGATGAAAAAGGTCTTATAGTAAGTGGTGGATAGATTTTGGCACTTTGGTTATGAATGTGGTATGGTGACATTTTATGCCTAAATCATAAACATTTTTTATACTCCCATAAATTGTTACTTCAACAATTTTTTAAAATTTAATTAAATTAAAAAAAGATTTTTATGCCATGGATGATTTATAGGTCATGTGGTTTTTTCAGAACTTCACTTTATTTTATATCCACAGTCAAACAACTACATTGATTTTCTGGGCTTGTATCAAATTTCCTGTGAGAATGTTAAAAATCTTTATCTCTCATAAACTATTTTAGAATAAATTTCACTTGATGGATTATGTATCATACTCCAGATTCATAACTCACAGATTTATACTTGCATTTGGTGAATCCAAACAAAAGCAGAATGATGGAGATTTTGTTTGTAAATGATATCATCATAACATTTGCTTTATGTTCAGTTATTTTTCTTTACATTAGAATACATATTAACTCTTCATTCAGGATCTTTGGTTTGAAGGATTTTATTTGGGCAAATTTGGGAATCTTTAAGAAGAGTTTACAAAGTGGGACTATGAAAAAATGCTGTATCATTCTACTTTTAATACATCACAATTAATGTGTTTAATAAAAATGTTATATATAATTATATATTAGTCACTTAAAAGTTTAAATCATATTTATTGTTGTAAATGCTTTGATTTTCTTCCTACTGTTAATAAATACGCTTGATAACTTGTTATAAATTTTAAGACATGAAATATTTTAAATATTATATATATTGTTTAAGTAAAACATGACAACTTGAGCTGTCTTTCAACTGAATGAAAATGCTATGTTGTAGAATGCTAAAGAAAATAACAAATGCCAGATCTCATGAATGTTATTAACTCTAGGTTCATAACATTTTAGTTTTGTTGAAAGGAAAAATAGATTTGTTAGCTATTAAACCATTTGGGATTCAATAGATGATTGCACAGTTGCTGACTGACAGGCTTACAGATGTATTTATAATACTAAGTCTGACATAAAATCTATATTAGGATGCCCTGATATATACGTTCACTTTTTAAAAACTTATTTTACTCATGTATGTTATCAGCTATGTTTTCAAAGTTCTATCTTTGGAGAGTCTGAATTTTAATTATCTTTCTATTATGTACATGGACTTGCAATGAAATTTTAATAAAGATATTCAGTTCTGTATTTGTAAAAAGATTTTAAAAAGGGAGATGAATACTTCACAGATCCTAAAAACAGTTGCTCAGAGTCTATAGCCAGATCGCCATGTATACTTATCTCTTTTCTTTCAATGCCATGAGTCATTATAAATGTCAGATTCATTATTGTGACATACTGAAACGATTGATTTGGAACTGTGCCCAGCACTGCTTTGTAATTGTAATACAATCCATCTTCAAACTCACTACCCTGAACTGTATACATCAGTCCAATGAGATTTTCTTTGACACTTTGATGATTGCTCTTTTTGTTTGGTCTTGAAGCATTTAAAGCTTTGAAATCCAGAGCTCAAATTTGAACACAATATTAAAACTGTTGCTATCTAAGGTATAACTGGGCATGTGGTCTAGAATTTTTCATCTGCCTTTGTGATTACCTTCAGCAATCACTTTACTACACTTTAGTCATAAAATCAGTTGCCTTTCCTGTGTTAAATGTTTATTTTAGTGGGTTAGTTGCTTACCTAGGTTCAGATAGAATTAAATTTAGTTGTTTAATAAAGGAAAACTTAGAACCAACCCATAATGCTGTTTTCTATATTTGCCTTCTGTCTTGGAAAATCCACCTAATAGTTCCATCAGTCCCACAATTGGAAAATTTATGCAAAGATGTGCTTTGTTTATTTGTTTATTCAGCCACACCCTGCAGTGTTCAGGGCTTTCTTCTGGCTCTGCATTCAGGACTTACTCCAGGCAGGCTCAGGGGACCATATGTGCAGCCAGATCTGGGTCTACCACATGCAAGGCAAATTCCTCTAACCACTGTACATCACCATGTATCAGAAAATGTATGAATTCTTAAATGCAGTCCCTACCAGCACAAAACTAATACATCAGTTTGCCTAGATCTATTAAAATGACATTTAAGATTTAATTTGTCAATGTGTTACTTTCAAAAAGAACTCAAAAATAGTATAATTGATAATAAATGTTGTGGGGAGAAAGGCAATGTTAAATATATTTTGAAGAAAATACCAGAAAAACCACACAACTGAACATTATTTTTCTTTTAATAAATACCATTTCCCCTCTGAAGTTAGGGGTTTCCTTTATTTCTGAGAAAAGATTTCTAGATGATCTTCTAAAGTATTTGCCAGAAGGTGGCGGCATAAGTCCTTATTGCTTAGAGCTCTCCGAGGTGCTGAACTCAGTCTGAGTTTAAGAGAAGCTGGCAGTGGTTAGAAATCTGATACTGCACAAGTTCTCACTTGAGGTTTATAGGAATTTTTAAGAAAGGAAAACAGCCCTGCACAAAATAAAATACATAAACTCATCAATAGAACACTGGAAAATATTTTCCTCCATAAACGTATTTGCCACAGAGTTGTAGGAGATAGCAGTGTTCAACAATGTTCTCTGAAATTAAAAGATTAAAGGTGGAAAGGCATCTCTGTGTGTGTGTGTTGTAGAATACATACCTGAGTATTTTCTTTACTTCTAAATGCAGCTTTTTAAAGCTGTTTTTTAGCGCTTCCATTATGATTACTTTTTCATTCCAATACCCCATTTTTTTTTTAAGTCACAATGTCCCCTCTAAGAGATCCAGATGGGATGATTAAAAGAAAGAATTGTTTTTTAAAAAACCAAGACTCTCAGCCTTCTTTTCATCGATTAACAATAATTTATAGAAGAATCCAGGGCAGTCCACCTCCCTTTTCAGAGTCCGTGTGCTTGCTTCCTTTTTCTCATTTGCCGCTCAGTAAAGCTGACTCTACTTAAAAATTTGACAGCAAGGGGTAGTTGGAATTTTCCCCCTTTGCCTGGTAGGAGGCGGAGTTCTTTGTTGCAATGTTATTCTGACTGGCAGATAGGGTGGGTATAAGAGACTTCTGAGTCTTGTCGACCAACAAGGGGCTACTAGGAGGACAAGACTGAGCTGGAGGAGTGGAGGGTGGTCACAGGAGGAAAGAGGCGCCCGGAGTAAGGGAAGTATTAAGAAGGGGTGGGGGGATTGGCGTGGGAGGTGGGAGTCTGCCAGTCTGCTCCAGGGATAAAGGGGAGTGAGAAGGAACCGGGAGAGTGAAAAGGACGGCCAGTGGGGGAAGGGACGGGGAGAGCTAGGAGAAGGAGCGGGAGGAAGACGAGGAAGAGTGTGGGAGGAAGCGGGGCAGAAGCTGGGCGGAGGGTCCCAGAGTGACCGTGGAGGGTGGGATCTCTATTCCAAATACTTCGAGGATTGGGGACCGCTTGTAGGGAAAATTCGGCTCTGCCAGTCAGTTGGGTAGCGGCAAAATAAAATGGACAGCGCGAGGCAGACGCTCCTGCCACCTCTCCGCAGCGCAGAGATCCCGGGGCTGTTTTCTGGCCAACTTGTTTCCCAGCTGGAGTCTTTGCGCACCCGGGACTGAGAAAGCGCCGGGAGCTCCTGACGCCGCGCCACGGAGATGCCTTCGGCTGAGCAGTAAGAACTTGGTTACTAAAGTCTCTGCATCCCCCACACGGCGGGGAAAGTCCCCGGGAGGAGGCGAGCGGAAGACCCCTGGGGGAGGGGCGGGGCGAGGGGCTCCCGGCTCCGCTTTCTCCCCTCCCCTCCCCGCGAAGGGCCAGCCGGCATGGAGGTGCTCGGCCCTGGACAGGGCGGCAACAATACCACCGCGCCCCAGGGTCCTTTAGGGGCACGCGGCAATGAGACTGGCCTCTCCGACGACGTGACCTTCAGCTACCAGGTGGTCACCTCTCTGCTGCTGGGCACGCTCATCTTCTGCGCGGTGCTGGGCAATGCGTGCGTGGTGGCCGCCATCGCCCTGGAGCGCTCCCTGCAGAACGTCGCCAACTATCTCATCGGCTCTCTGGCGGTCACCGACCTCATGGTTTCGGTGCTAGTGCTGCCCATGGCCGCGTTGTACCAGGTGCTCAACAAGTGGACGCTAGGCCAGGTCACCTGCGACCTGTTCATTTCCCTCGACGTGCTGTGCTGCACCTCGTCCATCCTGCACCTGTGCGCAATCGCCCTGGACAGGTACTGGGCCATCACCGACCCTATAGACTACGTGAACAAGAGGACACCCCGGCGTGCTGCGGCGCTCATCTCGCTGACCTGGCTCATCGGCTTTCTCATCTCCATCCCACCCATGCTGGGCTGGCGCACTCCCGAAGACCGCTCGAACCCCGACGCCTGTACCATTAGCAAGGACCACGGCTACACGATCTACTCCACTTTCGGCGCTTTCTACATCCCCCTGCTGCTCATGCTGGTGCTTTACGGGCGCATCTTCCGAGCGGCGCGTTTTCGCATTCGAAAGACGGTCAAGAAGGTGAAGAAGGGGGCAGATGCCCGTCCGGGGACGTCTTCCGCCCCGCAGCCCGGGAGGAGTGTGAATGGAGAGCCGGGGAGCCGAGAATGGAGGCCGGCGGTGGAGAACAAGGGAGGAGGCGCCCCGTGCGCGAACGGCGCCGTGCGGCTGGAAGAGGAAGGCGCCGTCCTGGAGGTGATCGAGGTGCACCGGCTGGGTCATTCCAGAGAGCACCTGCCTCTGCCCAGCGAGGCTGGAGCTGGCCCCTGCGCTCTGGTGTCTTTCGAGCAGAAAAACGAGCGCAACGCCGAGGCCAAGCGCAAGATGGCCCTGGCGCGCGAGAGGAAGACGGTGAAGACGCTGGGCATCATCATGGGCACCTTCATCCTCTGCTGGCTGCCCTTCTTCATAGTGGCCCTGGTCCTGCCCTTCTGCGAGAGCAGCTGCAGCATGCCCACCTTGCTGGGCGCTATCATCAACTGGCTGGGCTACTCCAACTCGCTGCTGAACCCTGTCATTTACGCCTACTTCAATAAGGACTTTCAAAACGCGTTCAAGAAGATCCTCAAGTGCAAGTTTTGTCGCCGATGATGTTGGGGGCGAGCTAGCCTTCCCAGCTCTTGGGAGTCAGTCCTGACTTCTTTGCCTCAAACTTTCTCGCCCGCTTCGCTCTCCGAGCTCAGACTCGGTTCCCTCCCCAACCCTCAGCCCCAAACCTCTCAGACATAGATTGAGTAGCCAAGAGCAGAGCATGGGCACCCCCCCCCCCAAATTCCTGAAAAGCTTCTTTGACTCAGACTTTTGGCCACACAATCTATTTTCATCTCCCAGCAACTGCCTCCTCCTTCGCTGGCTGCCCAGCGAGTCTGTGTAGTGGAAGTTTAAGCCTTACCCGTTCAAGGCAAAGAAAAGAAAAAAAATGGGGGGGGGGGAGTCCACAATGGAAAATAAACTACTAACTCAGCGGCTGTGCGCGCACAAAGCTCCCTCCTTCAATCCATGGTTCCACTAGAAATAGAACCTAAGATTGATGACTAGCCCCTTCTTCCACTCCAGTCCTGGAAACGCGCATTTTCTTCTCCTCCTGGCTTTACCCTTCTTTTCTTTTTGGTCACCTTTTAAGCCCTCGCCAGACCCTCTGAACTAATTTGCTAGTGGGAGAAGGAGCGGAAGATCTGCCTTTCCCCGGTGCCAGTGCTGTCCCTGGAGCCCCCGCCTCCCCAGTCGACATGCAGTATCATGCTCCGAAAGCTCGGTTTTCTTGAATTCAAAACCAAGGGGCCAGAAGCTGTTTCTTAGAGAGGACTGTAAGAATGAGGCTGGGCCAGTGGGGAAGAACCAGGTGGAGGTGCTGAACGGTGTGTCGGTGCCTGCCTTGGTGCCGGCACGCACCCAAGAAACTCAGTGGGCTGGGGGAGTTAAATTCTGCATCTAGGTTGTTGGGATCTTCACGCCGCGGTGACGGCACTCTACCCACGGAGAGAGGCGCCCTTCGGCCACTGTGTGGGGTGGGCACGCACAGTTCTTCGGCGTCTCCCCCAACAGGGTGCGGGCTGCTCAGCGCTTCGCGTCAGAGGACCGCACTCTTGTGGTCGCTTCTTGAGTCTTGGGCCAGCTACTACTGGGTAGCTAAAGGGACAAGACGGACACCCGGGCTGTCATTTCCCCCGGCTATGATGATTTTAGTGAGTTTAGGGCTCCTCCCTGCGTTCTGTGCTTCAGCCTCCAGCAGACGCTTCCTGAAGCCTGCAAGGGCAATTTAACCCAGAGGTGGCAGATGCAGACTTTACAATTCATCCCTCGTCCTTGTCCTTAGGGAATTAACCCTTTAGCGCGAGTGACACTATACCAAGACTTGTTCTTCCGGACATCCAAGGCACAGAGTTACCAGGACCTTGGCTTCCAGGTTGGAATTCTGAACTTGCCATCAAACGGGTACGGGCAGGCTTGGCATTGTCTATGGTTACCCTGGGCACTGGGGATTCTGAGAACTTGTTCTGGGTGCTCTCTCCGGAGAGTTCCTGAGAATCCTGTACAGGATTACATTTACTCCTTAACCTGACTGCCCCACCTACAGATCTACTGCAAATCAGCTTATCAGCTGTTTGAATTTGTGGAGCTCCTCAAGCTTTTTCCGCACTCAAAAGTACTTTCAGCCTTTCCATTTCTGCTGAGACACCGGCCTGGTTACAATTCTTTACTGCCCCAGAAGGGAAATTATTTCGGTGCTCCACTTAAATGTAAATTTTCATTCATGACTCTGGAATCTGTTTTAGTTATATCTACCCCCCTAAAGTTTTCATTTAAAAAAAAGTAGGGGCTATTCTTTTCTAGTAATTGCACAAAGTTATTGATTAGTACTCATTTCAACTGTACCTTTTGGATATTTGCATCTGCTGTTTTGAGAAATGTGTTGCAATGTTGTCAATGAAAAAAGCTCATGTGTTAAAAGGAAAAAGACAGCTGTATTACTTGAAAGCTTTTTTTTTTTGTTTGTCAAACTGAACAAAGTCTCCGCTTGGTATCTTTTCTCTAACCTAAACTGAAAGTAAGCATTTTGTCCTGTTAAAATAGATAAAGTAGAAGAACTCTGAGAACTGTTTGTCTTTGCATGTATAATGCTGATAAGGGGATCTGATAGAAAAAAAAGCCAGATTATTTCTGTCCAATAATTATTCTTCAAAAATTAATTTTTCTCGAACTAATTTTAAGTAAATAGAGCTATATTTTAAAAAATGGTTTCTATATATCTTCTTAAATTTTTAGAGCAAAATCTGCACTTTAGAATAATTCAAATACAAAATTTGTTTTTCCAAATTATGCCTTGGCCAATAAGCACTGCATTTGAAGTTTTGAGACTTTCATTTATTTATCTTTTACAGAATTATATTGAATGGTTTGAAGATATTTGTTATTCCTGACTTGAAGGATTACACAAGGGGCATCCAATTGGAATAAAATTGCCAAGGCAATAGAAAAACTTGAGGAAAATGTGCAAAAGCTGCATAGCAGTAAATAACCCCTAATGCGTCCCTTGTCCCCTTTAAAATAAAGTATTTGTAGTAGGTTAAAAAATATATATATATATGCATCAGAATTGGCCTTCACTCTTCCATGTCACAATGAAGAACTTTAATAATGGTAATGCTACAATAAACTGATATCAGTAATACAAGCATCTTTATTTTGATCAGAATCACTGTCTACTTGTATTTCATTGTATATCTATAAAATTGAAGGTAGGGACCTGGCAGATAATATAAGAGTTTGATTCCTGTCTCCACGTTTTTTTTCTGTCACTTCCAGCACTCCCTGGTGTAGCTCTGGAGGTCCCTGAGCTTCCAGAGTTGTTCTAGTAGTCCTGGATACCGCCACTAGCACAGCAGCACTAGGTGCACAGGCCCGCACACTGCACCACCCAGTCCAATTGCTGGCAGTGCTCTCTAGACCCCAACCACCATTTGGGAGGTGGTTGAAAAATAAAGATAATAGAAGTTAAAAAAATAGTTATCAGAGGAAGATCCTGTGTACAGGTCGAGTCTAATATTGAATGGTATGAATTAATTTTAATTAATTCATTCTAAATGAGTGATTTTTTTCCCCAAAAATCTTGTCTGTGGAAAGAGAAGGTCTTATATAATCATTTAGTCATGAAACCATATATTTTCTCTAACTAGTACCTACATATAAGTCTTATTCATTACTCAAATTAACCTGAACAAAAAGTAGGACATGCAGAAGAGAAACTAAGTTGCTAGTGAAAATTGCAAAGGCCCATTAGGCCTTTTGAAAGTGAAGGACACTTTCCTGATTTTCCAGAATTTCTGGCTAAAAGAAAAAGGCCTTACCTGGTTTCAAATGAAGCAGGTCATTGTCTGGGGGTTTGACAGGCATTTAGTAGTTAAAGGACATTTTCCTTTACGACTAAGTATCATTTGACAGAAAGATTCTGTTTGTAAGATCTAGTACTTTGTTAAAATTAATTCATATTCTCTATTTGCTCTTACTGTAATCATTAGTAATACCTCCCACGTTAATTCCCTTGTTTTGGGCAATAAGATGGTTTCAGAGTAAGTTAAACTCTGCTAAACCCCAGTGATAAACAAAATTCAGGACTTTATGTCCACAGAATACTCAAGTTGCACGAAGCCTAGTTCAGGCAATGCATGCACACACAGATATATATATATATATATATATAAATATATATGTGTGTATGTATATATACATATATGTATATATGTATATCTATCTATATATATGGTCCCAATAATTAAAAGTAAAAACAGAGGAAATGAGACAAGACTGGATTTTGTCACTTAAAACATGTTACATAAATGCATCCATAGCTTTGAGAAAAATTATGTATTTAGAACATGGCCTTTTGGATTCTGGATAACTCCCATCTTGGCTTTTATTCTTTGTTCTGGCATCATTTTCTCTAAGAGATGCAGGCTTTTTGTTTTCTATAGTCTTTAACTAGACTCTCTCTCTCTCTCTCTCTCTCTCTCTACTCCAGTTTGGAAAAAATATTGTTAGCTGGTACTTCCAGTTTAAATACAAGCCCAGACAACAAATTAACAGCTATGATGTGTATGTTTTATTGGATAATGTCTAAATATAGAATGAAAAATTAATATTACTTGAAGGAATTTTACTTAGAGGAAAGTTTTTTTCTAAATCTATGGGTTTATAAGAGTAAATTTTTAAGGCTAACTAAACACTAATGACAGAATACAAGTATTTTCAAATAGAAAATATCAAAGAATTTTGGCTCAATTCATAAAACAGAGATCACTATGGGTTGGAGGTGGGCAGGGAGATCAGAAAAGCTGTGTGGAGCCCTCAGTACTCCTCTAGGATATGAATAGGCTGACACTGTACCAAAGACAGCTTATTTCTTTCTTCCAGTGTATATTGGAGATAAAATTTTTGTCTGAATTACTAGATGCAAATAGATGAGATTAGTAGGGGGATAATGATTCTTAAGAAATATGCAAACTCAAACTTACCTGTGATTTACATGAATCCTTAGGGTGTGGAAAAAAAAAGAAGATGGATCTAAAGTCAGTGGAATGGAATTTCAGGTTCTGAGTAAATCAGGGGAAGTGCATATGAATAAGAAGTAATAATGAAATTATTTAAGGGTAACACTGGAGTAACTAAGGTAAGACAAGAAAGAGGTTCTGAGAGAGAGTATGGTGGGTTGGGTTCCTGTAAATCACCCTGATTTGATTCCTAGAATACATATGGTTCTGTGAATTCTACCGGGAGTGATTCGTGAGCACAGAGCCTGGCATAAGTCGAGCTCAGTTGAGTAATAGTCAAACAAAACAAAAAAGTCCACAAGATAGTGCATTTATACTTCTAATTTCTTAATACTTTATTGTCGTCAAGTGATTTTTATGCAACATACTACAAAAATTTGAGAGAAATACCAGTTTAACTATTTTAGCCTAAAACAAAGAGTTTCCCAATAGTGGGAAAATATAGAAAAAAGTACTAGAGATCATATGTGAAATCATCATAGTACAAGGTTCAAGAATTATTGTTTTAATTAATGGGTTCTGACTAAAATAATAAAACAAATAATGAAAACACAAGTATTTGGAGATAATTTCAATGCCCCTCTCGGAGAGCCCGGCACCCTCTCGGAGAGCCCGGCAAGC